GAGGGTTAATTTAGTCGTCGAGCCGTTCGTCGCTATCGACGGGTTCGACGAGAACGATGACCGGGGCTTGAGGTACCTAAAAGCACCGTTAGTGGCTCGGGAGGATCCGAAATGAAGTTGTTTTAGCGAAACGTAACGCATTACTGCTTCACAGCGGAAATATATTGTATAGCACAACTATATTACATACAATTCGTGGCACGTCGCTGTCCATGGGCTCCCGTAACCGCTTCACATTAAGTGAACCGCGAGCTTGTATGGAAAAGTACGTTAGTAAAGAACACTTGTTGTCTAAAATACAATAGAATTTCACTAGCTCGACCGAAATACGAGTCTTAATCAAATAGAATGAAATGGAAAAAAACGGTTTTACAGTAAATTTTATTTAAAAATAATAAATTATTGTATGGTATAAGTATATAATAAAGTATTGTCTTTATTAATTAATATTTAGATATTTTGAAGACAATTACGGATGTGTACACAATTGTTAATTTAAGTACTACATACACATATTTTTAGGTAGATATTTTTGAAGTGGAAAACTTCTTTAGAATCGTTGTGATTTCAAACCGGATGCAACGGAGAAAACGACAGGTAAGAGACACAAATACAAAAATGTGTAGGATGAAGCCAGCAAAGAATGAGACAGAAATATACATACTATTTAATACAGCGCCATCTGTGAGATTTTTTAATACTAACGTGTGTATGAAAGCTCTTGTAGTGAATTTTAATTTTGGATTATACGTGAAATTAAAATATAAATTCACAGAGGCCGCTACCTTACAATTATTTACTAATGACAAAATTTTATATATACTTAAGACGTTTAGGATAATTGTATTTTAATTTTGGAAGGTTTCACTTCTACCACGTGTGAATTGCACACATTTTGTTTTTTTTTTTGTGATTATTAATATATCGTGAATTTCTTAAAACTAGAGGCCCCGTAGTAGTCGAAATCCGACTATAATTAATTAGAATTGTAAGTTTGTACACTATTATGACTGTATTTTATTCTTTTATAATCACAAATTTCGCCAAGGCTACACTATAAAAAAATATTAATAAAGACAAACAATATTTAATCTATTCTCAATTTGACCACAGACGTCAAGAACAAAAGTTTGACAATAAATAGTATGCATGCGTGTGTGCGTCAAATACATGGTATGTAGTGTGTGTAATGTTTTTTTTATTGATTTAATGTATCTTTTATGCATTATTTTAAATAAATATTATCATTGTGCACTTCTTCTCTACATACTCTATAAGTGTGGAAAATTTCATACTCCTCCGTCCGCGCAATTCTCGTAAAAAGGATACAAAGTTTTTGCTTCACGTATTAATATATAGATTTTTGCTAATTAAACATACACGCTCCTTTTATTGTCTATATAGTTTATCAAGTTCAATATTACGTCGATTTTGAATTATGCTAATAAATAAAGAATACAGTATGACCCACCAAGATAATTATTTTAAATTATAATATTACACAATTTCCATAAAAAAATTAGGTATAGTCGATTCGCTAACTAGGTAAATGATTTCTGACGTCGAAACATTGAGCGATTGAGAGAACACGATCATATTGGAAATAAATTATGATTGAGAATCACGATTATCCTTATTTGCTGTTAATTAAAAATGTATTAATTTAAATATTTATAAATGTAAATACAAAATATGTACACATATTTTAAAATAGGAACACTGTTATCGTTACATTGTTATTTTAAAAGGTAATTTGAATTTGAATACTTGAATTTGAATACTCTTGCGAGTCCGCACGGGTATTTCTGCATATATTTATATATTTTTGCCTATTTCTGCCGTGAAGCAGTAATGCCTTTCGGTTTGAAGGGTGGGACAGCCGTTGTAGCTATATTGAGACTTAACAACTCATATGTCAAGATGGGTGGCGGCATTTACGTTGTAGATGTCTATGGCCTCCGGTAACCACTGAACACCAGGTGGGCCGTGAGCTCGACCACGCACTTAAGCATCAACAAAAAAATTAATATATTCATTTTTTTTCAGTCCACGACCGTCCAATGCTAGATATAGTCTCCCTTCATGATTCATCATAAAAAAACGGTGCAGCCTGCATCCAGCGGGTTCCAGTGACGTTTATGTCCACCTTCATTGTCCATACTACCATACCACTATATAACACTTTTATGTCAGTACATGGTATGTCCACCTATTGGGAGGTCTATCCACGCTATGCTTTCCGGTACCCAGGTTGCCACTCTAGAACTTTTAACTTTTTTATCGTGGCGACTGTAACGGTAGCCTTCACTTCAGATCCTCCAGATCCACTATCGGTGCTTTTAGGCATTACAAGCACCGGTCACCATTTTCTTTGAACCCGTCGAATGCGACGAAGGGTTCGTCGTGAAAATTAAACCACAAATGCAGCACACTGAGTTTCTCGCCAGATCTTCTGACTTGGTTGGAAGGACTGCCCAGGGCTAGTGTTAGAAAATTCGCCAGGCTGAGTCCCGTGAGCTCGCCTACAAGTTTGGCGAAGCTAGTTTAACCCTTTAAGGCTACTTGCATAGAAATTAGTATATAAAAAAGAACCGTTCGGATATAGTATAATATAATATTTGCATAATACGTAAATATAAATAAAGATACGTTGTCAATTCTTCAAGAGTTTCTTAACTTACAATATTTGTATAAAGTATTAAATAACGATGTTTTCAAGTAGTATTTTATTATTATTTATTATTTTGTAGTCAGTCATCGACTTATCCTACATTGTAAAATAATTACAATACATTTAGGACATTGTCGATGGGAGCCATTAAAATTAGAACATTGTTTATAAATTTATACTTTTTGATTATTATTATTTTTATGTTATCAAATTATTTTTATATTGCTTAAATGGGTGGACGAGCTCACAGCTCACCTGATGTTAAGTGGTTACTGGAGCCCATAGACAACCGCAACGTAAATGCGCAACCTACCTATGAGATATAAGTTCTAAGGTCTCAAGTATAGTTACAACGGCTGCCCCACCTTTCAAACCGAAACGCATTACTGCTTCACGGCAGAAATAGGCAGGGCGATGGTACTCACCCACGCATACTCACAAGAGGTCCTACCACCAGTAATTACGCAAATTATAATTTTGCGGGTTTCATTTTTATTACACGATGTTATTCCTTCACCGTGGAAGTCAATCGTGAACATTTGTTAAGTACGTATTTCATTAGAAAAATTGGTACCCGCCTGAGATTCGAACACCGTTGCATCGCTCAACACAAATACATCGGACGTCTTATCCGTTAGGCCGCGACGACTTCAAAACTAAGAAGGTATTGTTAGCCATCCAGTTGTGAAATGAGAGATAACTTTAACAATTTAGGAATTTTTATGCACCTAGGACATTTGAGGCGTTTGTCGGGCTGATTTTCTTTGGTACCCAACTGACAAACTAAACTTGAACACTTCGAAAAATATTTTGAATATAAGTAATGTTTAAATAAAATGATTTATGTATCAATGAAATGATATGAAAGAGGTTGAGGGAGTGCATATAGAGTCCCTTCTTTATTTCGCCTGGTCGTGTTTTATGTAATTAACACCACAGTTGGAACAATATAAATTTTATTGTTGTAGCGGCATAAAGTAATTACATTAAATTAGTTATTTAACACATTATAAATTATTTTTATGTTTTTCATATTTGGCGGTAAAAAGGTATTGTGGTACAGACTATATTCTTTTTCCCACCTCTCGTGCGTTCCGGCTTACGCATAATAAAACGCCACAAGGTTCTCTTGAAATCATATAGCGAAAGGACAACGTAAGTTTTACATTTAGTCCGTAAGTTATTTCATCTCACACACCGTAATCCGCATTACGTTCTTCTCCAATGCGTTTCAATTAAGAATTTGCACGGACCTGCCCCCTTTTTGTGACGTCATAGCTGTCAAATCGAAAAAATAAATAGGTAACTTCAGTAAAAAAGATAAAAGGTAACGTAACGTCAGTAAAAGATAAAGGTAACGTCAGTAAAACAGGTATGTACCTACATACATCGCGGCATCGTTGCATATCCTAGTGGTGGGAGGGAGCTATGAACCTCCTGACAATAAACATCGTAATACGTGCTCCGAAACATCGTTCTCATTTCATTCGTATTCAAAACAAATCTTGATGACGTCAAAGTCAACAAAAAGTTCCGCGATTTTCAAATTCGATACGCAAAACATTGAATGGATCATTTAAAAAGAAGAAAAAAAAAAGACAACTTCCGAATTTTGGCGCACAGAATCAGCCCGTTGAGTTTCCCGCCGAATCTTCTTGGCGGGTCATAATTATGAACCGGTGATAGATGTATTCGCAAGCCGAGTGACCCCGAACTGTTAGAGCTCCGGCGGAGAAACTCGATAGTTCGTTGTGTGTTCTTCTTGATTAATTTATATTTTGGTCTTGAATTATTTGTGGAAGTCCAGAGAAGGTTTAAAACATGAAAATGCTCGGAATTAAATATAAATAACAATTTTTTTTTCCCTTTGATGTGTCCCCCCCCCCCCCCCCGNATATTTTTGGTAACTAAGACCTAATTAAGACTAAGACTTTTTAATCCCTTATGAGGGTCAAGTCTTATTTTTATTTTAATGATACGTAACTTTTTTATATGAAAATGATATTATGAATTGAAATGAAGGTGATTTGATTGAAAGATAATCTTAGTAAAATGGTGGTCATTTACTGAGACTTTTTCATTGATCTTTTTGGAGGATCCCGAGAAGTTACGTCCAGCGGCTTTGTTTCATTTTCCCACATTTGTGCACTTTCACAGTTAATAAACCACCATTATTACACATTTAGACAAAATAAAACAAATTACATAACTTCACTCATCGCGTTCCCGCCAAAAACTCCGATTTTCAGAAAAGCGAAAAAATAAAGGAAACTCTACGACTGTTTTTATCAATTTATTATGGTTATTATGTGCAGGTTGTGTAGACTATGTTTATGGTGTAAATATTCTCATGAATGAAGAAACTCTTAGAGGGTAAAACAGGGAGACCAGCTTCCAAAATTACCTTAGTTATTAATAAACTAAAATTACAACTTTTTTGTTGTATTTAAACTTTAAACCAATTATATTTTTATTTGTAAATAAAACATTGATACCTACATTTTCTTATTGAAGTAATGAAATGAGCACTACCTAACTATGTGCCTTATATTAAAACAAACAGATTTTTTTGTAATAAATTCAAGCAAAATAGATAAATCAGTGCTTAAATAACATAAAAATAATAAAGTAAACAATTAGTAGTGATATCTTATTTTATTCATACACAAAGTTAAGTCCATTTCATTTTTTTTTTAAATTAAAAACTCAAATAATTATCTCGCTAGGTTGAACATTAAAAAACTTATTTCTTGCTGTGATTGTCTGTGATATTGGTTTTTTAGTTTCTTTGTTATAGATTTTATGAATATTTAATATAGGCTGGAGGTTCATTGTCATAGCCCAGTTTTCTGAGGTCCTTGGACACCATCGCGGCCGACACCATCACGGTTCCTGACGATTGTGTTCTTAACACTGAAATACAATGCAATGCACCTTAAATTCTTTTTAGCTTTTTAAAAAGGCATAAAAATCGTTGCAACATGAATTCAACTTGTTCCAAGATTAAATAGAAACCATTGATTGCTGAGAGATATTTTTTTAGCACTCTCATTTTTACCAATAACAAAATGAAACACAGGGACAAGTTACAGAACGGTACAACGTTAGTAGAGCCGGTCTGGTCAGACGTATTCGCGATTAACCCTTAACTCTCGAGAGGTGAGTATCGCTCAACACATGACTTAATAATAAACGACAAAAAGAACGTTAAGAATTAATAGTGTGCTTAGTGGGAGTTATTTAACTTTCTCGATAGCGTAAAAGCTTACTCAAATTTGTATGGAGTTGGAACGTTTGCCTACGTTTGCCCTTAGGGGCGCTGTTCCAACAGCATACTTGAGTTAACTTTTACGATATCGAGAACGTTAAAAACGAGTTTTACACTAAGCACACAGATATCAAAACCATAAACAAAATCTCAATCATCAAATAAAGCGACATAAATAGTTTACACAGGACATAGTATTTCCTTAACCCTCAGACATAGCCCACGGAGTTTCTCGCCGGATCTTCTCAGTGGGTCGCGTTTCCGATCCGGTGGTAGATTCTGCGAAGCACGGCTCTTGCTAGGGTTCGTGTTAGCAACGTCGTCAGGTTTAAGCCCCGTGAGCTCACCTACTAAAGGTTACGCTGATATAGCCTCTCAAAGCTCTCAGCAAAGGGAGGGGAAAAAAATCGAATTTTCGCAACAAAGTGATGAACGAGACTCAACACTCGATTACAAAGGGTTATAATTTGCATGATATAAATAATAAATAAGTAAATAATCGTACTGTAATTATCCTTTCCGTCGGCCAACATCTTCGGGTCGTTCAACTCTGGATACCGGCCGGTGAGCCAGGCCACCCACTCGCCGAGTACCGTGGCTGGCTTCGGACGTAGGAGCGGTGACGTCACACGTCGCCTACCCGCCGTCGGGGGCAACAGCACAACAGCGTACCCCCGCAAAGTGTCCCCGGTTATGAAATTACGGGCTTTCACGGTTATAACTAGTCGGGGCCCTGGCAAAACATTCATACTTCAAGAAAGCGACACAAGCTTTTGTTTTAGACAAAACATGGTTTTATTTATAAGTATGAAGGATTACTGGTGGCCGTGAGGCCCTTCCAGTTTTACCAGGACAGGTGCTTGAGCAAAGACTCAGCCAGGGGGGGTGGGATTTGCTAGCAGCTACCCGAGCGCTTCCAAAGGAGACCTAACAACTAGAGCAGCGGCTTCGTGAATGAATCTACTACCGGATCGGAATCGCGGCCCACTGAGAAGATCCGACGAGAAACTCAGCGAGCTGATGTTTAGGTTAGGTTGCACGACGAACTCTTTGCCGAGTTCGACGAGTACGGTTACCGGGATTCCTAAGCCTGGTCCTAGAGCTGAAGGCATCAATGCAAGAGTTATTGGATCTGATGGATCCGTAAAGACGTGTCCAAAGTATTTTTAACTGGTGGTAGAACTTCTTATGTGTCCGCACGGGTAGGTACCACCACCCGCCTATTTCTGCCGTGAATCAATAATGCGTTTTAGTTTGAAGGGTGGGGCAGCCGTTGTAACTATACTGAAACCTTTGAAATCATATCTCAAGGTCGGTGGCGGCATTTACGTTGTAGATGTCTATGGGTTCCATAAACCACTTAACACCAAGTGGGCTGTGAGCTTTTCCACCCACCCATCTAAGTAATAAAAAAAACATGGTAGGAGATTAAATGATTGTCATCGGATACCGGTCCTAATGGAGACAACAACATGCTTGCCGTCAGCCACCCTAAGATACAAGGTTTTAATGTTGTGCGATGGTCACTACCCACAAATGGCAACGCATGACTGCTTAGTCGTAAATATGGGCAGGGCGGACTGACGCAGGAAGAACTAATATAATGAATTGTACACGTTCAATGAATATGTAGGGTAGATTTGATGATATTTTAGATTAGACGCTCCCGTGTCACAATAAGCTTAAGGGACTATAATATAGAACGAGAAACAGACGTAGAGTCGTGGGGTACTTAGAGACGTAGAGACATTGCAATCGATAAAAGTCTTGGTAAATGCGACCGGATGATTGGCTTTCAGGTGGACAGGGTGAGCTGCGAGGAAGGTGTCGCTTCGCCCTTCTCTATCGTCTGAATTCCGTCTCATTCATAACTCGAACGCGTGTTGACGTGAGAGACAGGGTATTTTAGTTAATTCAACTCCGAATTGTACACGGCACCCACCCACCCAACTACCAATCACCAAATCGTAAAAGACTATAGTATCAAAAAAGCATAAAAGTCCACTTTACTTACACCCATACACATTAGTGCTTCCGAAAGTCATTTCTATAGGCATGTTGATAACAACTCTCTCTGGGTTGATCCCGGGGCGTGACAATTGACTCGTTCCTGAAGGAAGACCCGTGATAGGCTCCCAATCCGGACCCCATACCACTTCATACTGAATATAAAGATATTCATCGAATATTCCGGAAGGAAACGTTACGTGTTCAATTTGACCGCTAAAAGACACTAAGAATTTGGTTATCTCGGTACTTTTCATTGATCTATTTTATTTTCTATAATGTTCAATACTCATATACATATATGTACGAAGTTTCAACCAGTTTCAAGTTCGTGACAAGTCCGTTCAAAAGTATTCAAAACAAAGCAGCTGTTGCCATAGAAACGACCTTGACGGTGTTGCCAATCAATAGCCACACTGGTGCGTGACCGATAAAGATTTAAAGAGAGGAGCAAGAACTAAATAGAAATGTATGAAGAAGTCTTTAGATTTTTCAAAAAAAAATACACTTGAGGTAAAAATAAAAATATAGCTTCCGGTTTTTTTTAACCAAAGACAATAGAGTACAACGTTTCCGCTGTGCTGTTTGGTCGACACTTTTTAAAATTTATTCACAAGATGGCGCTGTCGTTGCTTTCAAATCCAAATCGGCCACCATTGTGAAGGCGAATCTATCACTTACTTGAATTATTTCAGTGATTTTAGTTGTATTTACAGCAGAAACTTGACTTTAAACTGCTTTGATTAAAGTCACTATCTTATTGTTGAGCAAATGCTAGCCTATATTTTACCGGGAAGTGTTTATTTTCAAAATCAAAATGCGTTCAAAATGTCACGCGAAGTGAGCATCGGAATCGTGAACACCATACCATGCACTAAATAAATTTCGTTTTCTTTAAACTGTATGTATGTTGAGTGTAAAAAAGTAGCTATCGCTATCCGTGATTCATACGGCATGTTAAGTGTGAACGAAGTTTGGGATTGCACACATGAGATTGTTTCAGAAGTTTCTGTACACGTCGTAAGCGATCTGAGTTACGCGGGCGAAGGCTTCAAAGTTGCCGGCATCATTATGGTGGACTGAGACAGTGTCTGTTGACGACATAGTGCTGAATAGGAATTGTCGAAATCGGAGCGACTGCCCCGTGCATCATGTCTGGCGGATCGCAACACAACCCGAATGGTCGGCAATCACAATTGGGCCCCGGTTGGAGCCCCCTTCAGGTGGTGCTTATTATTCATTAATTACCGCAACTAACTTATCGAGTTTCACAATACTTGACGGAAGTTACATTATATCCTTACGTTAGAAATGTGAATGATAAATGCTGTTTATTAATTATTTTTCTATGAACGTGTCTTTGTGCGTGTCGTGAATCGTTGAAGTAGGTATGTAGTACACACCAATCAGCTGTTTGTATTGACAGGTGTAAATCTGTTGCAATTTCATAATATAACAACAATAAATTTAAACGAAGGTCAATTGGAAAATTGTGATACTGCACACAATAATCTCACTTTCAGCTCATAATTGTTAAATGTTAAGTAAAGAATATAAAATTGGAGGTTACTTTATTTTGAGAAACTTAAGTTACTAGTCATATTTCCTATATATTTACTGTTGTTGTTTTTCCTAATCAAGACCAATGTACACAATTTGTGACAAATGGTAGCCTAAAATTATTAACATAAGTAACTAAGTTCGTTAATTTAATGAGAACAAGAAGAAAGTGCTTTATGGAATTATTATGAAATGCTCCTGTCATCTCCATTTGCACGACCCATTGTAGAGTTTGTACCTAATTTATGGAACAGCTGTGCTTTCTATGGTGCACTTCTAGAGAACATTATTGCCATATAGTATCTTATTTTGAACAAACTATTAACTACTCTCCATGCTGTTTCTCTCGCACTGTGCTGTCTTTCTTCAAAGCAGGTTTTAAAACCTTCAGGGAGACTCAACAACCTGCCAGTACTCCTACTGTTATTAATATCCATGAGTGCAATGCTGATCACTCACAAATTAGGTGTGCCATTTCCCTTGAATTAAAACTATCAAACATGAATTTTTTTAAAACTGAAAAAAAAAAACAAGTGTATTGCTAACACAGAATCTCCTTTTACTGCAATAATATATTCATATTACCAGTTTCTGTAACTATATGAAATAGTTACTTTGACAATGTTGTTGAGTCAAGTTCAAATATTGATTTCATATATCTAAAAGAAAATTTAAATACTGATAACATTATATGTGCTTAACATTCAACTGAATTTTGTCTGAAACAGCTCTATGTTTTAAGTATTATGTTTCAAAAAAAAAACTCCTAATCATCTGTTTAAATACTTTAAGAAACTTAAAGTTATATGTAAGACTTCAAACTGTGTCTACAAATTTAGACAATATATGAACAAGACAGTTGTTCTAATGAAAACAAATGTAAAAGTTACTATTTTATTGATTCCTGTTCTTCTATTTCTCATGTTGCTCTACCTACATTAAATAGCTGTTATTGTTTTCCAGTAAATTTGAGACACAGGACTTGCCCTATATTTAGGGCGAGAACACTATTTCCTCTATCCATTCCCCTTATTCTTCCACGAGCATTATTCATGTTGCAAGCCCTTTGAGGATAGAGGTAAGATAGCCACTGTCCCAAAACCACTTTACCCTCATGGTTTCAGGTGGGTAGGTCACCTTTAAAATCAAATGTCGATTTAGTTCTATCTGTAATAAATAAATAATACTTAATAAGATTCAGAAAAATAAATTTACTAAACTAAAATAATGAGTGACTGACAAAGTAGAAAAATATAAGATGTGATAACAGAAGCTCTTGATTATAGTTGATTGTTACAAATGAATTGTTTGTCTATGTTATTCCTTTCTTTTAAAACAATATAAGAAGAAAAATTAAAAAAAACAGTTGCAGATGGCGAATCTCCTAGCGAGAGCCCCTCAGGCGCACATGGCGTCTGATCGTGGAGTGACGTGGCACACACCGACGCCACCACCACACCTGTACCATGTGCCGGCGCCTTCGCCCCCTGATCCGCTACAGGTACATGACCTAATTAAAAGCACCAACCTCAATTCTGACCTAATTAAAAGCACCCACCTCAATTCTGATTGTCATTTACAGAACCTGTACAACATATTAAAGCCCAGTATTTAAAAAATCCGTATTGATCATTCATAATAGCAATGCTACAAAGAACACCTTATTTATTGTGAAATTACATTATAACAATAATCTAATTTGTAATATTTAAATGTTTCAGGCCATGAAGAATGCGGGCAGCAACTCTGTATTCCGACACACAGCTACCCCTCCGGAGATGTTCAGACACACACCAACCCCACCAGATAAACATCTCATTAGGTTGGTGTGGAACCAATAATAACAATACAGACGGGAGAAAGCGGACATGTCCTAACTTGCATTTTGGTCTAAATCACTTTGTAACCATATATCTTATAGTAGCATTTGCCCGCGACTCTGTCCGCGTGGAATAGTTACTTTGGCATAACGCAAAATTTTCCCTGACTTCATTTATGTAGCAAGTGAAAATATTTTTGAATTATAGAATGTTAAGGAGCTATTTAAACCCCTATTTTGGAAGATAACAATAAATTTGTTGTTCGACTTGTTTTGGCCTTACCGTGATGTTCCATAGCCTTTCTCAATAAATGAGTTATCTAACACTGAAATAATTTTTCAAATCGGACCAGTAGTTCCTGAGATTAGTGCGTTCAAACAAACAAACTCTTCAGCTTTATAATATTAGTATAGAATTATAGATGTAAGGTTCTGATGTAAAGTTGGGTTTTTCGACAATTCCGCTTTTTTCCGTCGATATGTTTAATATACATGAGCATTAATCATTGACGTCATGACTACATGGCATAAAGCAGTTAAAATAATTTAGGAAACAAATACCAAACTACAAATATCAGGCTACCTAATTCTAATATCTAAATATTATTGGCTCAGTGCAAGAAACACTGAATGGTCCTAACAGTGGCCTCAAAATGTTGTTAATGATTGAGCCAACCTCTTCTCTGGTGTTTATTGGACCCATAAAATATTAAAGCATGAATAGTGACATCTGCCTTAAGGCATGGCCTGATCTTCAATAATACATGCTTCACAACAGAAACAGGCAAGCTGCTGATACAGATTCACAATGGTACCATGAGTACTCTTCATTTCAGTGATAATAACTTTAACTTTTGGGGGCACTGAACTGACATACTTTTACTTATACATTAAATAAACCTCAAGTAGATTGCTAATGACAGATTGCACTAAAAAGTCTATCCAATTTTTTAAAGTAAATGCATAGCTAAATTGTTCAATTTATAGATGAATCTTGCATTCATGGTGTACTGAACTGGTACTGTAAATCATGAAATACATACACAAAAAGATGATTTGTGTTTTGTAGAGAAACCTTACTTATCTTTTTCTTTAAAATGTGACAATTAGTTTTTTCACTATTACCATACTTAATATTGAATATTTATTTTGAAAATTTACCCACCACAGTTATAAACTTATTGGGGTTAGAGAAAGTATAATACATGGTAAACTGAAATTGACAAGGCCACTTTTTGAACAGTTTTTAAATTTTCAATAGCAGCTCTAGAGTCAGTACTACAATTGATTTTTATCATGGCCTCAACAGTTAGAAAAGCTTTCATTCCACCTTCGATGACTTCAAATTATCTGCGTAAAAAGAAAATATATTCATAAGCGCCCTTAAAAACCAGTATACTTGGGTATTATTAAATATTGGTTATTATTATTAAGTATATAAAAAGCGAACTACAAAGTGTTATGTAATAATTAATACTCATTGTGACACAAAAATGAGCCATAACCTCGTAAGAATTGAAACACTTTTTTAGCGGTAGGCAGCGGCTTGGCTCTGCCCCTGGCATTGCTGAAGTCCATGGGCGACGGTAACCACTCACCATTAGGTGGGCCGCATGCTCGTTTGCCTACAAGGGCATAAAAAAAATATGGCCGATCAACCAGAATTCTGGTCACAAGTTATGATAATAAATAGAAGACCATGTTCACATTCCTGAGTTATCAATATTCAAATCATTTTATGTCAATTAGCCAACCACAATGTAATAATAAGTTGATAATTGTTTTGTGGACAACCACACAAATTAGATTTAAGCTAGTTCATTTTATCATGTTTTTTTTTATATACACTGGAATGTGAAGATAAAGTACTCTAACATTTTAATATTGTTTTCCGAAATATTTGTTAATAGTTCTTCAGTAGATATGATTTAAGACATTTGTGGTAGGGGTATGATGTTGCCGTATTATTTTATTTCCTCATCCTTGGAATACTATGTAATCTTTTTTGTCTTAATGTTTCTAACAAAGTGTATACTGGGAGATAGGTATTTAATATAACATAACATAAAGTTAAAAAAAAAGATTTTGCAACTGAAACCAATTAAATCAACTATGGTAAAATGGTTTCTGCAGCTGAGAGAAATAGTAGTAATAATACATTTTTCCCTAATGAAGCTATGAAATGAAATGGTGAAGTAACTTAATGATTCATTTTGTTCAGACATACTCCTTCTCCGGGCGACGTGAAGACGGGAGTCGCCTTACCTCCAGTAGAATTGTACTCGCACCTGGGTCCAGCTAGAGGTGAGACCATTTCTTATTATTGGGAATTAATTAATTATTTGTAAATTAAAAAAAACTAACGACTCTTGTTAATTGTTCTGCCTAATTGCTTCTCTTTAAAAATTGCTGGTTTGGATAATGCCATTGTCAAATATCCAAATATTATTTTAAACATAACCGTCCAATATTGCGCAAGCGCAAGTTTGAAGAGTGGAGCAGGTATTGTACTGTAAAAACGAACACTTCAGAACTCATATCTCAAAGTGGGGGGCGGCGTTTTGTTGATGTCTGGGTTTTGGTAATTATATAACACTAGGTAGGCTGTGAGCTCGTCCACCCACCTAAGCAATAAAAAAATAATCATTCTTGGAGTCTGCGATCTTGATCTCTAAATCAAACATATGTTCGACAGATAAGGTAGTCCGGGCAGAAGATTTACTGGCATACGCCCGTGTGGGCGTGGACCTGTCCGTGGCGGGCGCGCGGGCCAACGGCGGCGGCGCGCTGTCCGTGCGGGACGCGCCCACCATCAACAGCCTGGTGGGGCGCGGCGCCGCCCGCCCGCCGCACGCGCGCGTCGACGCGCTGCTCGAGCGCCTCGCGCCCGCCTCCCCGCACTCCGTCATCGTGCACTCCAGGGTCGCGCCCACGCCCTCGCCGCCCTCCTCCAACGAGGTGCCGCGTCACGCATTCATGTTTTAAAACCACCCACGCCATGCCTAATCCCGAGATTAACCTATTTTGTAAATGTAATTTCCAGGATTCTGCAGATTCGTGCGGTGCTCCACCTGGCTCCAAAAGAAAACGGAAACCGGAACGCACGATCCGCGTCCCGGTGGTTCCCCCTCCTCCTGCGCCCCCTGCGCCTGCTGAGCCCCCTCGTGCCGCGCCGCCCCTACAGAACGGCGACGTGGAGCGCGCCCACGACGTGGCGCCCGACAAACCCCCCTCCCCGCCACCCCCCGACCCACATGCGAGAAGAAAAACGCGCTCAGGATCCGCAGAGACGATCGACGACATAGCGGCAATGATCGCGAGTACGGATCGAACGGCAGAGCCAGAGCCTGAGCCGCCGNCTGCTGAGCCCCCTCGTGCCGCGCCGCCCCTACAGAACGGCGACGTGGAGCGCGCCCACGACGTGGCGCCCGACAAACCCCCCTCCCCGCCACCCCCCGACCCACATGCGAGAAGAAAAACGCGCTCAGGATCCGCAGAGACGATCGACGACATAGCGGCAATGATCGCGAGTACGGATCGAACGGCAGAGCCAGAGCCTGAGCCGCCGGCGCCCCCCGAGCCGGAGCCAGTCGTCACTGTCGACAAACTCGAGAGCATCCTCGCGAGTCCTGAACCAGATAAGCCCTGCGAGCTGGAACCTGAACCTGAGCCGGAGCCTGCCCCCTGTGTCCCGGCCGCCCCTCGCCGCCGTAGCCTACGCACCTCTAACCCTGACGCCCCTAACGTGCCCGTTGAGTCACCCTCCGAGGCCAAGCCTGCCGAGCCCGACGCCACGGAGGCCCGCAGCGCCGAGCCCACCGCCTCCACGTACGTCGATGTAGAAAATCAACTCGAAAAAATGTTCGCCGGACTAGATGGGAACAAATCTGATCCCGACTCGACGCGACCCGCTGAGCCTAATCAAGACATCCCTGCGACGCCCGCTGTTGCCAAAAAACGACGCAAGTCTGCGCCTGCGCGGGGGGAGCGGCGGGCGGCCGCGCGGAGCGACGAGGGGGGCCGGCGGAAGGGGCCGCGGAAGAAAAGCGAATCGAGTCGTGCACGGAAAAGCAAAGACATCACCGTCAGGGACGCGTATGACTCCGGCAGCAACGCCAGCTCAAGTCGATCCAGAGGGCCCTACATTCAGGTGAGCCATGTGTACCCCGTCTATATTATATTTTTATATCAGAATAACGATAAGAAGTAACTGGTATGGAAGTATCTGGACTCTTCAACAGTTGCAGTAGTGAATACGATACGATTGCAAAAGAAAATCATTATAGCGCTTTTGTTTCAATGGAATGTTGACCTCAGCTTCACGTCTCATCACAAGGGTGAAGGTACCGATGTACCAGTTCAATTATGAGCGAGGTTCATTAAAAGAGTGCAACGGTGTGTCCAGATCCGCGGGCCGCGCTCCACGGCGGGTCGCTCGGAGGAGGAGCGGCGCGCGGCGCGGGGGGCGGCGCGGGGCGCGGCGCGCGGGCTGCACGCCAGCACGCTGGGCCCGCGCTACGACGCCGCCACGCCCGACGCGACCTGGGTGTGCGCCTTCTGCCAGCGGCGCCCGCACGACGCCGCGCTCGGGGACCTCTTCGGGCCCTACGCTATGGACGACGACTGCGACGATTACAGGTTCCGAACGTCAAAATATCTATTATATTTATTAGTATGTTAATACGTCAAGTAAATCATATAACTATACTTGAGACCTTAGAACTTATATCTCAAGGTGGGTGGCGCATTTACGTTGTGGATGTCTACGGGCTCCAGTAACCACTTAACACCAGGTGGCGTGAGCTCGTCCACCCATCTAAGCAATAAAAAAAAAACATAGCCTTAAAGAGATTGCTGCCTGCAGGCGTCCATCACGTCAAAAGAGACGGTTAACCAACATTTTTGGGTTTACGAGGAGGGTTTTTTTTAAATTGTTAATATAGTCAAATTTCTTCTGATGCGAACGTGTAACAACGACGTCTTGTTAACCATTTAGCAAGCGTGGAAACGTTAATTAATTGGATGTGGTATTTGGATATTTCCATGAATAAGTCCATGAAAAATTCAATACATTCACCCCGCTTTTCATATAGCAGTATACATATATATATATATATATATATATATATATTGTATATTTAGTATGTGTAAGTAAATTCAGTAAATGCTTGAAGATTTTACAAACTTGATCCCGGGACTACAGTAACAAAGAAGGATCAGAAAACAGGTTGACTTGATGACTGGCGTAAGTCACTTACAATGCAAAAAATTATATCAAATTTTTCATTATTGTTTATAGTGGGTATTTATTTTTTAGTACCTTTAGTTATTTGTGGGAAAGTGATACCGTCAAAATAATATTTTTTAACAAAATTAATACAAAGACAACGCTTATTAGAAAAAGCAACAGCTCATAAGAGTCGACTATTATCAAAGCCGGCAATCTGACTTTTGGACAATGATTGGTAAATCAGAAAAACGAATTATTGACTTTGTATTCATTGGCAGTCACAAAACTCTTCGGAACGACATCTTAGATAAATAACAGGTTAAGTATTAACCTTTATTTAATGCAGGTTTTGAACCGTATTCTTTGAAGGAGACGATTATATTCAAATCAATCTGTATTGACATATCAATAATTTTTTTTGTCCAAATGCACAGATTGCCACCTCTGATATTATACGACTCATAAGAATGTTTTTGTGTATGATGAGGAAAATGACAAAGCTTAATGCTTTGGCAGGGGAGAAGCTCACGGCCGACCTGGTGTGAAGTGCTTTCTGGAGGTCGTAGGCATGAGTGTATATGACATGAGATTTATATCTGGATCATATAGTAATTACTGAAATTATGGTTTTTCGGGTTTGATGTTTATTACACAATATTATTTAGGTACGCCGCGTTTATCGTTTGGCGACCAGGACTTCGTAAATAAAATTGTCAATGTATCAGTCACTGAGGAAAATTACTTTATAAAAATATTTAAGTACCAATAAGTAAGCTGATTTTTCGAGTATTAGTCTTCGTGGGACAACAGTGTCAATCCACGTAAAATAATAAGCCTAATTAAATACTAAAAAAAGCAATGACATGAATTTGTTTGATTTCCAGAAATTCGGAGAGTGAATCTCGAGTGAGTGAGTGGGCGTGGTTCCACGAGGAGTGCGGCGTGTGGGCGCCGGGCGTGGTGGCGGCGGGCGCGCGCGTGTGGGGGCTGGGCGGCGCCGTGCGCGCGGCGCGGGCGGTGCGCTGCAGGGTGTGCGCGGGGGGCGGCGCGCACGTGGCCTGCGCGCTGCGCACGTGCTCCCGCCGCGCACACGTGCCCTGCGCGCGCTCCGCCGCCTGGACGCTGCGGGACCAACACTTCCGCGCGTACTGCCCCGAGCACGCGCCCGCCACGCCCGATGACTCGCCGAATTGAACGATTACTTTTGTATCATGAAAACATTCAGTTATTGTGACATGTGTGAGACAAAATGATATAGTGACTGAGCTATGTGAACTACTTGTTTCTCTCACTAAATTTTCATAATGAAAAAGGAACTATCCAAAGAACTACCTTCCATTGAAAATATCATTAACGCCCATCATCTAGAATATCAATCTGATTGTGTCTGATTTAACAGAAGATCTAAAACTGAAATTGTTACGTTTCAGTAAATTGTGAACGTATGTATAAATGGACGTGTAATTTCGTTCTATCGAAGAATTCTTTTGCGAGAACGCTGTCTTGTAAGTGCCGTATCACATTTTATTTTTATTTTTAAAATAATTTCGTTACTTAATTAAATTGTGACGTTCCGTTTTTTTTTTTATGTAAATATAAAACCAGTTATTACCATTGGTATTATTGTACCTAATATTAATGTAACTAGAATACTTGACATAAAATGATCTGGATATCGTGGATATTGTTTCAATCTGCTAATGAAACTTACAGTGAACGAATGCATTAAGTAAATGGATATTTAATTTTCCATGTATGTGAATATATTGAATGTTTATTCATTGTAAATTAGCGTTAACTTGCCTGTCCCGAAGGAGGACAAGCTGGGAGACTTTCATAATGACTCGACAAGTGATATTTGAGGTAATTTCTTTATTTTCCTTTGATCATAACAAACATATGAATTAACTTGTTTAGTTGCCATTTTAGTATGAGAACTAGTCTAATAGTCTTGTGATTTAAAAAAAAAGTTTCTGATTATCAAAACGATTTATAAATGTGACGCTGAGTGATAACCGAAGCTCCGATTGAAAAAAATATCGGTAATTACTCATCATTATCCTGCCCTTCTCCCAGTTGCCTGGGGTCGGCGCGACCTTCCATACTCTTCTATCATATACCATTTCTTCGCTCACTTCCCTCTTACCCATATCGTCTTTCACGCAATCCATCAATTTCTTCGGTAATTACTAAACCTGAAAATTGAAACAAATCGATATAACGTGCAGCATTTTCAATTCCACTTTTTTTTCATCATAATAAATAAAACAATCTTTGTTTCAGTACATTCCCATAATATGTTACAAAGATCTTACAGTTGAACTATGTTTAACAATAATGTACTATGTAATTTTACAGACTATACATACGCGTTCATTAATTTTAGTCTGGTACAACACTGCGCTAATCACGTGTTAAATTGGAATACCAGAACAACACTATTGACCAAATGTCGTTATTTTGATTTCCCGCCTAAACGACCAAAATATGGCGTCGAGAGCATTTTATTTATACGATACTCTTGATTAGTTTTGTATTTATTTTGAGACACCAATTTTCTCGAGAACGTAACGGAGGGTTAAATCAAATTTAAATTAATAACGCATTCGTGTGTAGTGCTCTTAAAAATAGTGGTTATTTAATATAAAGTGATTTACGCTTAAATTTGAAAACTGGTAACTCAATGTTTTTTTTTTTTGTTAGACGANCGAGAGCATTTTATTTATACGATACTCTTGATTAGTTTTGTATTTGAGACACCAATTGTCTCGAGAACGTAACGGAGGGTTAAATCAAATTTAAATTAATAACGCATTCGTGTGTAGTGCTCTTAAAAATAGTGGTTATTTAATATAAAGTGATTTACGCTTAAATTTGAAAACTGGTAACTCAATGTTTTTTTTTTTTGTTAGACGATCTTTATGATATATTAAACCTTTTTTTAGGATATAATTGGCAGTAGCCAATTACGGAATTGAACTATTTTTTTATTGTTTAAATTTTCTGTTTTTGTGTAAGTATATATTATTTAAAGCAGATTTATTTTGCTTTCTCCTCGTGATTTTATAACGAAGAAATGCGATGTGAATCTGAAATTAACCCAATTTGAACTTTAGTCTTAGAAATTTTTGTTTAAAACGAATTTGAGAAATAAATAAATAAAAAGTACTAAAATAAATATGTTGGTTGTTAAATGTAAAATTTTATACTCATTGCATTTTATCTTGCATAAGGCTGAAACTGTTTTCAAAGAATGCAGTTTAAAAAAAACGCATGTCATCTGAAGTTTCAATCGTGGATAGACCATTGTCTTTGTTATGTTGTTGTCGTCTTAAGAGAATTGTTTTTTAAAAATAATTACCCTACAACTCAACATATGTGTAACGTAAAACTTTGTGTACACAAAAAGAGGAACAGAAAGCTGACTATTTAATTTAAAAAAAAATGTAAGCGTAGATAATTTTAATTCGAATTAGAAAAAAAAAGCAACATTGAGTTACCTCGAATAATATCGTGTTGGGGAATAGTGAAGCCTGTATGTGTGTGCGCGAGTTGCATGTGTGCGTCAACGCTTCACGTTGTACTTTAATTCCAGTGAATAGAAGAATAGACTTTATTTAGGAAATGTTAAGGTACAAATTTTATCGTAGGGAGGATCTGGCCAGTCGTAGTTGAACGAATGAATTGTAAAAATAAATGTGTTAAAATTGGTGTAGTTACGACAGGGACGCACCCGAAGCCTTCTAAATGGTGTAAGATTTTTTTTTTTTATCACTTACATGCAAATTGATTACTTTTATTAAGTATGTAATTGTTATAAATTATATTTATCATGACATTATAAGCAAATTTAAATACAACATGTTTAAAATGATTGTCGTTTTATTAATGTACATTATTGTCGTATTGGCGAAATAGTTCATAGTTTTATAGTTGTGGGGTGACACAGTAAAGACCATTGCATAGGCCGTAGACATTTCCTTTGCCAGAAAAAAAAAACCTTGTAACAATTTTTTCCATTCCACTTCCTTTTTTCACTTTAATTTATTCTAATTATTTTTTGCATGCATGAAAAATGCATCTGTACGGTTTCACGATTTAATATTTATTTTATTGCTTTGTCGGTTGGACGAGCTCACAGCCTACCTAGTATTGAGTGATTACTGGAGCCCATAGACATCTACAACGTAAATGCGCCACTCACCTTGAGATATAAGTTCTAAGGTCTCGGTATATGTAGTTACAACGGCTGCCCCACCCTTCAAACCGAAACGCATTACTGCTTCACGCTAGAAATAGGCGGGGTGCCTAAGCGTGCGGGCTCACAAGTTGCGCGTTTGGTTTTTAAAACACGATGTTATTCCTTCACCATGGAAGTCAGTCGTGAACATTTGTTACATACAGGCTTATTAAATTAGAAAAATTGTTACCTGCCTGCGGGATTCGAACACTGGCGCAGTCGCATCGTTAGATACGAATGCACCGGACGTCTTATCCTTTAGGCCACGACGACTTCCAAAAGGGTGACCCAAGCATAAAGAACATTTTTCTCCTACCTACGCCGAAAGTTCGGTTTTCCTCCCGCTGTACAGGGAAGAAACTCTCACTTTTCCTCCCGCTGTACAGGGAAAAAAGTTTAACTTTTCCTCCCTGGTACAAGTGCGCATGCGCGTTAGTGTCAACTGCTGCTCTCACGGACCTGAAATTCTCCGCCATTGTTGTGCTCGGGTAATTTGCAATATTGTGTTTAGTGTAAAAGTGAAATAAATAAAAGGCAATAAAATTTAATAGTAAAGTATTAGACAAAGATGAGTTCATCAGACAGTTCTTATTCAATTAGTAGTAGTTTATTTAAAAATTAAAAAACAGTTAAATTGTTTTCTTTGTGAGTATGGGGGGGGGCTCCGCCCCCCCTACCCCCCGCCAAGGCTTCGCCCCCGGACCCCGGCTCGGTACTACACGAACTTTCGGCCTGATAGAAGAAAAAATAGTATATGCACCGCGGGAAAAAAGTAGGACATCTCATCCCGCGTGTTTTACATTTTACACGCGGGAGGAAATGTCCTACTTTTCTCCCTTGGTGCACAATGTACTATTAGGAAACAAAACAATAACGTAATTTTTTTTTTATGAAGTTTAATAATAAAGAATTAATATTATACATTTCAGGTATTTATGCTTAATGAAAACCTATTAATATTATCTTAGTGGTAATTATGTAACTTCCAGAACAATTTAATTTAATTTTAATTCAACCGCCGCGTAGCAAAGAATCGTTTATTTGATTACTAGTTTACTCCTACACTTAGAGTCTAGATTTAATTGAATTTCACTCAAATGTAGACTGCGATCGTAGAAGGAGCATGTGGCCACCAGATCCCGTCCGTGGCACCAGTCCGCGCCGTAAGCGATGCTGCAGTGCTCCAAGTACTCACTGACGACATTTACACCGTCATCGATGTGTAATATACGGAATCCGCCGTACATGCAAGCCGCTAGAACGACGTTCGGTGTGTTAGGGTGCCACTTCAAACGCCACACACCGCCGTTGACGCAAGTTTCGCTGATGCACGATTTCATTTTTCTGGCGTCCCAGAGCCGGACTTTTTCATCGTAACTAAAAAAAACGTATAGAAATTTTAAAATAGTTTTGGGAAGGCTTAGACGACAAAGGGAAGATCTTCCACCGAGCGGATGATATTGCTCGGTAGACCGACGGTCCGAATGTTGTTGTTCGGAACTTGTATAATAATATATGCGCTTTATCTTGAAAATGTCGTAAGCGAGATTCAGGCATCTGTCAATTATCTTGCGTTGTATGATGGCTACCCGCCACATCACTCCCCTCCGAGACTGGAGGTCGTGTCATATTTAGTTATCGTTGTCCGTGCTGAGATTAGCTTGCAAGTGCCAGTGCTGCTCGAAGTTTGCGGTGAGTCGAAACTGAGCTTGAATGCTGCGTGATTGTCGCCAGTGCTGCTCGAAGTCTGCGGTGAGTCGAGACTGAGCTTGAATGCTGCACGATGAGGCAGTGTAGGTGCGTGCCGTAGGGCCAGGAAGCGCGGTGAGTCGGCTGCGATGGTCCTGTTGAGGCTGCGAATGCTGGCTTGCTGTGGGACGACTGTCGATGACTTGCTTTTATCTGCGAGAATGCGGGGATTGTGGTAGCCGAATTTTTTGATGCGCTGATGATGAATCAGAAGGTTGCGATTGTTCCGTCGCAGGTCACCAGTTTGGGAAGGCTTAGACGACAAAGGGAAGATCTTCCACCGAGCGGATGATATTGCTCGGTAGACCGACGGTCCGAATGTTGTTGTTCGGAACTTGTATAATAATATATGCGCTTCATCTTGAAAATGTCGTAAGCGAGATTCAGGCATCTGTCAATTATCTTGCGTTGTATGATGGCTACCCGCCACATAGTTTTTTATACATAATAACAATTTCTTAGGCCGTACCCAATAAACTACAGAGTCTTCACGATAAGTCAGTAGGGTGTAATATGGGTATTGTCTGACTTCAGAGATGATGTCGTGAGGCGTTGACTAAGAGTAACTGAACCACAATTTTTATAATAAATAAAAAGTTATACAGAAAAAGGCAAATAAGCCTCCTGGCAACACTTTCACAATCCATTTAGCAAGATTCAGCATTTATTTATGAATATAGTCTCAATAGTCTCAATGGCTAAATGTCAAAAAAAAACCGATGTTTTAAAATTAAGACAACTATTTATAGATTAGCTATTTTACGTGTCTTTCATTATACAATTACTGGTGGTAGGTCGTCTTGGGAGCCCTTACGGATGGATATCATTACCCCATCTATTTCTGTCGTGAAGCAGTAATGCGTTTCGTTCTGAAGGGTGGGGCAGTCGTTGTACTGTAAAAACTGAGACCTTAGAACTCATGTCTCAAGGTGGCGGCGTTTACGTAGTAGATGTTCTTAACACCAGGTGAGCCGTGAAATCGTCCACCAATCTAAGTAATAGTAAAAAATACACACCTTCCAGTGAGCAACTGATGCTCCACGTCAACGTTACTCCTGATTGAGGTAACACCGGCCTCGTGTGATTTGTTTACAGCCACGGGTCCGTCTTGTACGCGAACATCGAAGCATTTCAACAGGCAGTCGTCGCCTCCTATAATTTAAAATCAGTTGCAGTTTTATATACTGTTACGCCGGTAATAGTAACGCCATCTATCGCCGAACTATCGTGGAACTACTCGAAGCGAAACAGCGAACGGATCACCTGAAGCGAAGCGGAAGAAGTAAATTGAGAATTTTAAAGTGTTTTAAGTGTTGAATACAAAAAAATTGTAAGTTGTATTTTGGTGGAACATTTATTTATCCCAAACCCCAGCGCGCAACAATACGTACCAGCTGAACCGGCAAACGTTGTTTTGTCATATACATTATTTCTAGGAAATATTATTTTTTTGGGTGGCCACTCTTAACGTTTAGGGGTACGGAAAATAGATTTTGACCGATTCTCAGACCTACCCGATATGCACACGAAATTTCATGAGAATCGGTTGAGCCATTTCGGAGGAGTTTGGCAACAAACACCGCGACACGAGAATTTTTTATATTAGATATTTGTGTTTGCAAATAGAACTTTAAGCCCAATGAGTGATTATCTAAACTTGTCTCTTATTTAGAAATAGCCAATGATCACTATGAGGAAGACGCCTCATTGTACATCAAAATGTCAATACATCCAGATGAATTAATTATATACGGTATATCTACCGTATATAATTAATTCATCTATCAAAATATATTTTTATATATGTATATCTATCAAAATATATTTTTTTACAATTTTTTTGTCTGTTTGTTCCGACTAATTTCTGGAACGGCTGAATTGATTTTGGCGGGATTTTCACTGGCAGATAGCAAATGTAATAAGTTGTAACTTAGGCTACTTCTATTTTAGAAAAATTCTAAAATGATTATAGAGTAAAGTAATGTTTAGTTAAATTCCATGCAGACGAAGTCGCGGGCACAGCTAGTTTTTAATATATATAAAAAATATGACTCAAGTTATATAATAAAGGCGAAATACCTGAATAAAGCAGGTTCGTGTCCCAATAATTGAAAGCGCCGATCCAAGCTTCGAAGCCATGCGCTCTCCACGACAATCTCTTCTCTATTCCATTTCCATTAACGGTCAGAATCGTGACGCATCCCGACGAATCGCTGACTACTAAATTATGTACATCACTGTCCGTTTTATTCGTCGACCAATCAAGTGACAACGCTAATATGTCTTGACCAATAACGTGTTCGCTCCATAATTTTAAATTCAAAGTTTCGTCATTGAAAAGACGGTAGATTCGTAATTCACCGATCGACGTCACCGCTGCTAAGACAGCGTGGCCCTCCAATTTGTGATTGCACCACTTCAAGTCCAAAATCCCAGAGGTATTTACAGTTTGTATTGGTTTTATTTCTGTCGCGTCCTGATTGATTACGAATAGAAATATTTTTCCGAGTCTTGTTTGTTTCTGCGCCAATTGATCTGGAAATAAGACAGTTTTAAATAAAATAAAATTTTAGGGATTACGCCTTTATGAAAATCTGGAATTCATGGTATAGTCTGCCTATTACTTTCCATTTTAGTGTTGTTATCACACTAAAAACTTAACGTCTGTACCAGCTGTTTTTTTTGTAATTGTACCATAGATATTGATTGCTTATTTCGTTAATTCTGGTAACGGATTAAAAGAGATGTTTACGTCTAAAGGCGAGCAGCAAAAAAAGATACCTTCGTCGCTTTCCGCTAGCTCATAAGTTCCGCATACGAGCACGTTCTTGTGAGGTTCCACGGGACACCATTCAACCGAATCTGCACTGTATTCAGTGTTCCACTTGCAAATATTTCTCCACGTCACGTTCATACTAAAAAAGTTTATTATTACAATAAAAATAAATTAGTCTTCTTGCTAGCAGCACTATCCTGCTGAATTATCACTTGACACGGAAATGAAATAAATATAAAACAAGTGTGCTCTGAAGAATTAGGTACTTGAGATGATCTCGTCATCTCCTTTTTACCATCACACCTCTCACCACCGGAGCAGAGTGCATCCATATTATCTGGAACCGCTGCGTTCATCGACAGTGCGTTTCCAAAGACCTTTTCTGCCACGTATCCTGCTTTGGAACGAACTCCACTCCACGGTGTTTCCCAAGCGCTGTGACATGTTCTTCTTCAAACGAGGCTTACGCAAAGTACCTAATGATAGGCAGCGGCTTGACTCTGCTCCTGGCATTGTCATGAGCGACGGTGACCACTTACCATCAGGTGGGCATTTTGCTCGTCTGCCTACAAAGGCAATAAAAAAAATAAAAATGTACATATACGATAATTACCGGGTATTTCAGAAAGGTTTGAAACAAAACCTAGTGATTTCTGATCGACTTCAATAATGAAATACGTCACTTAACAAAAGACCACCTCGAAACGTAGACGGTTTTAAAAAAAACTTTAAAATTGAAATGAACATTTAAAAATGACATACAACATTCCTAAAAAATAATATAAAACAGAACCTCCACTATTTTTTAAGTCTGCTAAAAATCCAGTAGGTAACGATTTTTTTTTCTTTTTTTTATAAATACGAGATTTAAGATCAATTGTTGCACAGGGTAGAATTTTGATTAACACATAACACAGCTTACGCGCCCCGAGAATTAATTGCGAGTAGTTTTTAATTAACCTAAAGAAGTTTATTGCCGCTTACAACGCTAGGAATGAAGACTTTAAGAAAGACAAAAAGAAAAAAAAACAAGGTAACTATCTGTCTCGCACTTAACATTTCTTTTTTTTCCTACCTAAGCTGATAGCCTTGAGAGGCTATTACAGCGTAACCTTAATTAGTAGGTGCACGGGGCTCAAACTGGAGTGATGCTAGCACTGACCCTAGCAAGAGCAGTGCTTCGCAGAATCTACCGCCGGATCGGAAACGCGACCCACTGAGAAGATCCGGCGAGAAACTCAGTGTCTATGGGTTAATTCGCTCGTCGAGCCCTTCGTGGCAAGCGACGGGTTCGACAAGGACGATGACCGGAACATTTCTTCAAGACGGACGCTTACACTAAAATGTAGGGTAATTTGTCCAACCAAATAAAACACAAGATGACTACATTAAACCCATTTATTTATATTAAAAATATGTCCATAGAGGAGGAACGGAGTTCTATATCTATTCAACTGCGGTGAACTTTTCGTTACACAATTGTCGTATTAACTAATTTGTACTGTTTTGTGGTTCATCACTTACTTGGTAGGTTTTTTTTTTCAATAGGAATTACATCGAGATTAATAAGAAAAAGATTTATATATAAACGGACTCTTCGAAACATTGTAGCGTATAATAAAACTGCGAGTATATAACATTATTAACGTTTTTTTGATCAATTATCCTCAACGATGGGTAATGTTTTTTTTTTTATTATTGGAGTTTATTGGAGTTTACTCCTTTAGAATCGATTTACATATATAGGCCCGGGGTATGAAAATTATGGGGACCAAAATCGTACTAGCATGTCACACGAAATGCGTTATGCGCCTGATTGCGCATGTCACACGAAATGCGTTATCGCAGGTGACGCCGGGCTGCTGCGCCGGCAGTCCGCCACAAAGCCTCGTACTGATCGCGCGTTTCTCTCATTATTGTATTTTCATATATTTGTTAGTCGTTTGTTTTGTGTCTCGTTAATTTGTTAATAATCTGTAGTGTATCGTGTTGTCGTAATATAGAACTATTTCTCGTATTGTTTCGTTTAATTTTTTATATCCAGTAAACTCCAGTCGTGCGTCGGAGCGGACACACACACTTTTTTTATCTTTAATCGACTATCAAACATCGATTACGTAAAGAGATTCGATTTTATTTTAATAAAGCAACGTTCTTTTTTTTTTTTTCAATTCGCGTCCGTCTCGCGTTTCATTATACGCAAACTATAAAAATATTAGTTTAAAACTATATTTAAACTATTTTATTCGTATACTGAAACAGTATATCCACAACTTGTGGTTTCGCTTACCCCCTATACCGATAGTACAATGATTCAGAACAGTCCTTTATCTATACCGATTTAGAAGAAAAAAAAACGGAGCCAAATGCAACGAATCTTGTGAGCATAGCGCTTAAAACAGCGACGAAATACCGAAAAGTCATCAAAACTAAAAATCGTATTGAGAATCCATTGTTGTTCTTGTTGTATAGTGGTTAAGATAATTCGAAACCTGATCGAATTTTCTCTGGAACATGTACTGTCATAAAGAATACCTCGAACCTGAAGATGATTGACTAGTTTCGTGAATTCTAAAAATAGTTATATTTCAATGAATTATTGGTATTACTGACAACACTATTACTGCAAAAATATATTCCAATTTGGAAGCACCATAAATAAGTGCCGTAATAAAACGTAAAACACTCTTAAACACAACGCATTTGAAAATTGATATATAAATTTTCATCGCATTCCTTTGAAATAGATTTAAGAAATCGTTATTAGACATGAAATATATCGAATCAAAATTAACTATACGTGTACCATATCTCTATATGTTGTGATCGAATTAGAAAAAACAAAGTTTTGTTTTAATTTCAAAGAATATTTTCTTTCGTTGCGAATATTGAGAGTTGAGAGAGTCGTGACCATTTTGGAATGGTACATTACAGAAGAGCTTTCTTTTCCAGATACGTTACATATTGTTACGGATAGCGACAAAAAGAACAAACGTAAAAAAAGCAAAATCAATAAAAAAAACCGTGGACTCGTAATAATTACAACATTAAAATTTAAACTATGTAAGTACATTATTAATTAGTGGTAACTTATTTCATAATAATCATAAAATGTAATTATCGACTACACGTTATATCGTAAATTCTCTTATATATTTATATGTATATAATCAATAATTATACTAAAGGTATACTCAGACGGCAGTTTATATTAAAAATTCTGTCTATTTTACTCAACTAGGGAGGTAGAAACGAATTCAGACAAGCGATTATTGTTCGAATAATATAAATTAAAAAACGAATTTAAAAGTTTATTTCTACTTGTCTACGCGACGACCGCTGTGTTCAGACGTCACTAAAAACTGTATTCTAAATGTATCAGCCGCATATTGCCTGGATTCACATCAACTATCTCGCGTCGACATCAGTATGCTTAGTCAGAGTTTTTTAACGTAATAGATAGCGTAAAAGTTAACCCAATTGTGTATGCAATTAGAACAGCGCCCCTAGCGGCAAACGTACGCAAACGATCCCGTTCCATACAAATATGAGCTAACTTTTACGCTATCGAGAACGTTAAAAAACTCGCACTAAGCACAGATCTGATACTAATTTCAAATTAGTGTCATCTGTGTGCTTAGTGTGTGAATTATGTACGACCTTCTAGACATTCGCGTCAGTTTCGTTAATTCCATTTTTACTTCTCATGGCAACACCTTCGTCGCTATTGGGTATTAGACGGCCGAATCTGGCAACACGGTCACCGTAAAGACTGCTGTTGTAAATTATTCTCATGATTTATTTCCCTATTGAACAAGCGGCCTTAATAAATGAATAAATTGAAAATCTCAATTCTTTCTTTCTGGTCGTTCCCTCAATGCTGAGGATCGTGACTGTATGTCAATCTTCTCCACTCGGTCCGGTTCTGCGCCATATCTCCCCATATCTGGCCTCCAGTCACCACCTTGAGTTGGTCAACCCATCTAGCTGGCGCTCTTCCTCTAGCGCGCTTCCCCTCCATCTGTCCGAGAATTGTGAGTTTCTCCAGGCTGTGCAACGAGGATCGCATTATGTGCCCAAAGAAACTGCGGATCCTTTCCTGGCACATAGTCAGCAGGCGCTTGGTGACCTTCAACTCTTCGAGGATGGAGACATTGGTTCTCATAGCTGTCCAAGGAATGCGTAGCAGCTTTCTCCAGCAATACATTTCAAACGCCGCAATCTTTTTGCGTTCCTTTTTCCTGAGACACCAAGTCTCCACCCCGTACAATTAAATAATAATAATTAATAATAATCTCAATTAAAGAGATGTTATTTTTTGTTCTATAAAATATATTTTCCCACTTTCAAGCGGTAATTAGGTGGCGCAAGTACTTCGTTTCGATATTTCGGGCACAAATTTTAATTAGAATGGATTTAAAGTATAATTCAATTCTGAATTATTTGAATGCTGTTACAGCCTTCAAAGACATAAGTGAACGTAGAACCGTTGTATGCCAAAGTTACATACAAACTAGCTAAGCATTGTGTGCCTTATAATCACCCTCAAAAATGAGTTAAACCAGCTTCTGCAAATGCTACTAAAACTGTCTATAAAGTCGGTTTACGGACGATAGTTTTACGTGATAACGTCATAAAGAAATATTGATGAAAAATTGCATACTTTTATGAATTGAATTGAATTATTATTATTTTGTTTAGTACAGAGTAGTTAATTGAAAATTATTATTTTTTTCCGATATTTTAATGCTTGGGCCGATCGTGCCTCTCTATCGCTTATTTCGCGCTCTCGCTTGCACGCTCACGCACGGGCGGAACGTGACACTTTTTCGTGCGTGCAACTGGTGTTCATCGATTTATAAGACGTTATCACATGAAAAATTTAAAATGTATATAATATCAGTTTGTATGTTTCAATAAATGATAAACAGTGAAACACTACACTCTCGGCATATACTAAATAAGCCTGTTTTATGTGCGAGGATAAAATTACACATAGCCACTGTGACCACCATGCATCACAACAGCTTCTGACGAAAAAAAGGAGTTCATTGTTCAACAATATCGCTTGCCTGAATCCTTACCACTACAACAAGGAACTATTGTCACAGCATGGATGTACATACGAACAAATGTCTAAAACTAAAATTTATTTACAACTTAAGCTATCCAAAAACAAACATAAAAAATTAATGAGCATATATCACTTAATAACTATATAGATATATGATAAAACTTTTCTTATATGGCTTGAAGATAACTTTTTTTGTGTTTCCTGTTTACAATTTTCAAGTAACATTACAATCAGCAATGTTGCCGAAAACAAGTTATAATTGATTATAGTAATTTTTGCTTCCAAGATATTTTAACCAACCATTGTCTGTGATTTTTGAATCTACTTTGATAAACAAATGAATCAGGAGGGGACGCTGCCCTTCTTTCTTTCAGAGGCCATAAAAATCAATCATCATATTTTGTTCATGTTCAATAGTTATTACCATTATCCCAATCACCAAGCCACAATAGAAAAAAACCTTATTCAATATCCAAATTAATATCATTCATTGACAACAGAATTCAATTTGCAATGCAACCGTTTGTGAATACCCATTCTTGTAGCAGTTTTCTAAAATAAGCATCTTTTTTCATTATAAACATTTAGTTTAAAAAAAATCGCTTATCAATATGATACTCATGTTTGTTATTGTAAAGTTACAATCAATCAACTTCATTTACTAAAAATAGTACACATTTAATCAACTTTCCTGGCAACACTGCCTCTCTCAATACAGAGTTAACTATGACATTGACGCTTTAAATTTTTAATATCATTACTATATTAATAGTGTTTGAAAATGAGGTAGATGTTCACAATAAATGTTTCTATCACAGCCTGTGTTCATTCATGACATAAACATTTATGTACATATTGTATATAGTTCCGGAATATTCCCAAAATTATAATCTTGAGTTATCGGTCAAATGGAAATGTAAGGTTTTAAATTAGTTAGACAAACAGGGATGAAAATTATGTGACACTCAATAAAAGTAATTATGTTAAACAATCCAACTAAAATGTCTATTTCAATAAAATTGAAAAAAAAATTTTTTTTTCTTCACTGTTATTTTGAAATAGTTTCACTCGCATTCATCATTGAGGTTTTTACTAATAAAAACTATTTTGAATTGAAAATTAAATACAAACTCGGTAATTCTTAATTATACATCTAAGTACCCTGAATCAGTTCAAGCTAACCAAATATTAATGTATATAAGTTTAGATTCACTTTATACTTGTACAGTATTTAAATATGGCTTGAATACCTTAGCGGCTCTTAAGACTATCACATTTGAATACCAGTTCATGGAGTGCATTTCATTTCATTCACCGAGAGGAAATATTCAACAAAGTGTAATGAATATAAATTGAAATTAACATTACAGATTAAGCAACTAACTTCCTTTTTATTTGAAAACTGGTTATTATGAAGTGTTCTGTGATAACAATAACGAGTTTCTGTGAATTTTTTTCATGTATAATTGTTATAATCATTAAATTTTTTATTAGGTGTAATAAGTATGAGTGCTAAATTCATATTTTGAATAATGATGACATGAACCGTAAATATTTAATGCGCGTGCCTTTAAAATGTGAGTCTCAAAATTTAAATTCTTTTTTCTAGTTTCATAAATATAATCTATCAACAAATACGACAAATTTAACTAAATTTAAATGTCTTTCATTAAATAATTTACATATTTTATGTAGCATTCATAAGTTTAAATTTATATTATTTGTAAATTGTATTATTTCCAAGTATACTTTAGTTTACTTTGAGGTACACTAAAAATTGACTGGTTTGATTTGTTACTGTCAAAACTACTGTCGTGCCGATCTTTCTGTTTCAATGAGACACTCCCTAACCAAAATACGTGCGTGAACAATACCCCGTTTCAGACGTTCTGCTGAGCTGCGACTACCTGAATAACTGGGTCTGACCTCTTTACCCATCTCTTCAATAACGGAAAGGAGTTGGGCGTACTTGGAAGTGCCGTTGTCCTTGTCTTTTCCAACAGAGGATGGCGAGGAAGCCGGAACTGTTGAGATGGTCGCGTGACTGCTACCACCATGACCCAGCTCCTTGTGTACATTTTTACCGCTCATTGGAATGGCTGTGACGGTTACATCACTCAATTTTGACTCCACGGCCTGAATATCCATCGCTTCCATGGCTATCTGTAAAATAGGCCGTACCGTAACATTAAACATTGTTTATCACCGAACGAAATTGTCACCGAAACATAAAAACTTACCAATTATAATAGATATAGTTAAACATTTTCGTCACCACGAATACGGTATATTAGCGTGTCATAAGTGAAAACTGATAAATTCTACACCAAATTATAGATTAAGTGTAGGACATACCTTAATCCGTTGTCTGGTTCTTCCTCGTTAATTCGACTTGTAGATATAGAAACAGAGCGAACACGTTACTATACTTTGGAATGCCGACAGGTCGTAATTAAATAAGTTGATCTCTTGTAATAAAAGAAATAAATTATTAAGCGATTTCGCTGTAAATAACAAACAACTCCACAAATCACCACATTGACATGTCCCCGAACTTCCGATTCCGACCGAAATTCGAATTGGTTTAGTGATGTGAATTTTGTATCAAATAGTCGTCGAGTGATAGTGATTCATTGTTGCCAGTGGAAGCGATTTGAAATTTTATTGTAATGAAGCTCGGTTTCGACTTTTCCTGTTAATCGACTACAAAGGTCGAAACGTTTCTCACTAAGAATAATCATGGATTACTTAAAAAAATTTAGTAACTACCTACTTATCCATAATGAAACTCTCTCTCTCTTCCCAGCTATTTATTCCACATGGTGGTGGGGTCAGCTTTTCTGACTTTACTCCTCCACTTCGCTGTGTTTTCGACATCCTCGTCAGCAACATTGCATTTTCTCGTCCTTCAGCACGACGTCCCTCCACCTTGAGTCTACCTATAAGTCTCCGACCGGGGAGGTCGAGCAGTAGTGCCAAATTTCCGACGTAGTCAGGCTTCCTTTTCACGTGGCCATACCATCTCAGCCTACTCTCCTCAATCTTGTCGGCGATGTCCCGTACACCTAGACTTCCACGCACGTACTCGTTACGGATTTTATCGATTTTATTTTATTTTATCCATAATGGAACTGAAACACACAATTTTGTACGTATACATTTTTTAGACCAAAATATAATACAAATAAAGTGTCTCGCTCTTAATCAAAAGAGATGTAGGCATAATAAAATTATATTTGCTGAACATCTTCAAAACTCTATTTATGGTGTTTATTGAAATATGTTATTTATAGAGTTGTGAAGTATTTGTTTATTTTTTTCTATAAAGTATTATTTAGAATAAGGAATCAGAGGCTTCCAATCCCGTTAAATGATTGTTGATTGTTGCGCCAGTTCCATTCCCGATCCTACGGACAGAATGGAAAGCAGTCGACGTCGCCCAAAACACGTCATCTCGGATCCTCCCGATCCACTAACGGTGCTTTTAGGTACTTCAAGCACCGGTCAACCCGTCGCTTGCGACGAAGGGCTCGACGAGTCAATTAACGCTCAGACACAGCCCACTGAGTTTCTCGCCGGATCTTCTCAGTGGGTCGCGTTTCCGATCCGGTGGTAGATTCTGCGAAGCACGGCTCTTGCTAGGGTTCGTGTTAGCATCGTCGTCAGGTTTGAGCCCCGTGAGCTCACCTACTAGCCACGGTTACGCTGAAATAGCCTCTCAAGGCTATCAGCTTAGGTAGTAAAAAAAAAAAAAGTTGCGCCATCTAAATAATATTTTAATTTAAAATATATGTATTATCTACCGATTGTCTTCCAGGATTGTCAGAAGTCAGAAGTTCTGATGTGTACAGTGTGTGATGTGTTCTGATGTAGATAGCTTGTCCTCTATTAACACAAATAATAAAATTACTATGAAGTTGAAATCGGTAGGTTTTGCGGTAGGCAGCGGCTTGGCTCTGCCCCTGGCATTGCTGAAGTTCATGGGCGACGGTAACCACTCACCATCAGGTGGGCCGTATGCTCGTTTGCCTACAAAGGCAATAAAATAATAATAATCATAAATACAGTTTATTATGCATGAGTTTTTTTTAATGTGATGATTGAATTTCATCCGGTAACTCATGTACTTAAATAGTACAGAGTGCGTATGGCGTATGTAGTAGTAACTTGTTCGATTAATGTTTGACACAATCTGCCATGTTTCATATTCCCTCCCCCCTCCGTGCGTCGTATTCCTCAGTTCTGAGGGTCGTGACCTTTACTGAGCACTTTTGTTAGGACTATGTTCCTCCATTCACTTCTGTCCTCGGCGCAGTGGATAGCGACATTGATGCTGGATTCCAAAGTCATCTTAATCTGATCGGACCAGCGCATGGGACTACGCCCCCTAGGCCTCTTTCCTTCCACTTTGCCGGTGATGAGAAGTTTTTCGAGATTGTCACCCTTTTCCCTCGCAACGTGACCGAAAAACTCTAAAATCCTACGTAGGCAAATGGTGGAGAGTCTTAAGGACACACCTAGTTCTTCCAGGATTGATGCGTTTGTCCGATGTGCCGTCCAGGGGATCCGCAGCATTTTCCTCCAGCATCACATCTCAAACGCGTCGATCCGACTTCGATCAGCCCTCTTCAGAGTCCATGTCTCTGCCCCATATACGAAAATAGAAAACACAAGACTTATTACAAGTTTACGCTTGGTTTTTATGGAGATGTTTCATATTAATCAACCTCATTTCATTTCATAGTATCATATTTAATTTTCATAAAAAAAAAAGATTAGGCTGTATGGTACTTAACAATACTTTTGCCTTTCCATTTGGAAAAATAAAACTACTACTATTGTAGGTATTAGTGTTTGACAGTAGTCAGTGATATGTAATCTATGTTTTATTAAGTTTTGTAGGTGTCGGCTAGGTCAAAAATAATTTTGTCCAATTTTTCGTTTTGTCCTGCATTTTTATGTATCGAAATCATAAAATGATACTTGTATGGCATAAGGTGGTCGGTTCAAAATAAAAATTCCGACGATCGGATATACCTCTAATACGGTTAATAGCTGAAAGAGGCTTAAATTAAAGTAAATATTTGAAACAATAAAAGACCAAGAGGTCGGTTTTCAGTGTTAAGTGATCACTACGCCCACAGTGATATTATTATGGAAACGAGACGAGTAGTGTGATTAAAGAGGAAGAAACTGATGATGTCAGGAGATCGAGCAACGCGTCCGAACTCTTTAGTGTTGGATACGCCGGCACCGGAGCGCGAACCTCTGCGCTTCGATGTGCAGTTAGTTGGAGCCCCACCGGAGGTTGAGCAGCTGGTTAATAACATCAAACAGGTAGCCGAAGAATTTTTGTACCACTGGAAAACTTTTCCCATTGGTAAGTAACTATAATTATTTAAATTTGTAAAACTGTATGACTATCCATGATTGTTTGATAACATAGATTATTAGTAAATAATAATAAAATAGTAAATTATAAATATAAATTATTAGTAAATAATAATTTATTGAAAATTTATCGTTTTGTCATTATTTTGTTATTTAGCAAAAAACCAAACTATTTTAATTTAATGATTATTAAAAAAAAATCTAGTACACAATATAATCTACATTGAATATAACCATACATTGAATATAATCATTCATTGTTTAATCCAAAGAAATGTATTTCATTGTTTTGTAGGTCCCTAATAATTTTATTGTAGCTATCAATTACTGTCCCATTAAGTTGATGTATTCCAATATTGACCAATTAAGTAACAGGTGTTGTCAGATAAGCGTACAGACCTTCTGATGTTGATTGGTTACTGTTATTAGTGGATGTCAGCAAACGGGCACAGCCAAGCTGCTACTAGCTACTAAGTACAAAAAACACTTAGTCTAGTTTAGTGTGTAAGGGTAATAAGATCTAATCCATTAACCACTAAAAAGTGTTGATAAGAATGAGTGACTGCAATGTACACCATGTACACTGGTGCTAAAACATTAAAGTCCTTTCTTAGAGAATTTTACTCGAAGGTCATTGAGAACTTGTAGCTCTTGATGGATTTGTCACTTAACGAGTTATTACCCTGTACTCTGATTGACATATTATGCAAGCACTGTGTTTTAGTTTTTCATTGTGCTATCCAGTATTACCTCCAACACGGTTTGGTCCCGGTAACCGTCCATGTGACATCATTATTCCACCTCCTTGCGATGAGGTGGATGCAGCTGCTCTAGATGCTGGACCGGAACCGCAACCTCTGTCGCCCAAACAACTACAATCTATTAGGGAGAAAGGGTAAGTTAAACCTAATATTCTCATACATAAATATATTTTTTTTATAAAAAAAAGAACATATACAGATGTGTATTTATGTCATGTTACAAATATTATGTATGTCTAAATTTATTTATTTATTATGTACCCAAGTGAATGAACTCCACCTAATTGGCTGTAGTAGCCCATAGAGATTTACTGTAAAGGTCACTATGCATGTACCTTCGGATCTGAAGTCTAGTTCTCAGTTATATAATATAATGACTGTCTCATCTATAAAATTGGAATGCATGACGGCTTTACCACAAACAATGAACAGGGTCATATTATTTACGTATGAGCGCATACAATAATAATTAATGTATACAGTTATTGAAATGTATAAAATTTGTGTGTTAAATTTTTGTTACAAATGATGTTATCCTTTCATCGCTGGAATCATTGGTGAACATTTGTTAAGTTAATATCAACATTAATAAGGAACAAATTTTATGATAAAAATTTGTATCTACCTGCATGCGGGATTTAAACATTGACATTACTTCATTATTCAATGCAAAGAGTATATAAGTTACATTTTTACTGGTGGTAGGACCTCTTGGTAGTCCGCACGGGTAGGTACCACCACCCTGCCTATTTCCGCCGTGAAGCAGTAATGCGTTTCGGTTCGAAGGGTGGGGTAGCCGTTGTAACTATACTGAGACCTTAGAACTTATATCTCGAGGTGAGTGGCGCGTTTACGTTGTAGATGTCTATGGGCTCCAGTAACCACTTAACACCAGGTGGGCTGTGAGCTCGTCCACCCATCTAAGCAATAAAAAAAAAAATTAATATGATGTGCTCACTATCTTCATTTGTATAAACATTGGAATGAATAACTTATGTAGTTAGAATGAGAGAACCAATGCACTTGTAGAGAACAAATATGGTTTTATGTCATATCCCTCACATGTGAGATAGTTAATATAAGTAATCATAGTTGTTATCAAACAATAAATTCTTTAAAATCTACATAGTGCATGCATAATACTCAATTAAATAAAGAAACAGAAAAAAAATTACAATTGGATTTGACTATCAGAAATGTTAATTATTAAGCTTGTTAAGAAACAAAATCTCTCACCCCTATGCTGTACATTAACTTCAATTAATGTTTTCAAACAGATGACCTTACATTTAAAATAACATTGGTCTTTGCACATAGAACACGCAAACTTACACCTTATCACTTAAGTCATAAGTTTTATAATATTTTATCAATTATGTTTTCTATACAGAGGAGCTTAGTTTATAAGCCACTTCCTGTCTGTAGTTTATTTTTCTTTTCAATTGTAAAGTCACATTGAACTTTGAATGATCGTGCATGGCTTTGGTTTGTACGTAAATTGAGCTGTGAAAATGGCTTTTGTCCACCAAATCAAAATATCTAAACTGATAGCCGAAAATCGAGTATTTTTTATAAAAAACAATTTCATTCATAATATATCTCTAAATCGGTTAGATTTAGGCGGGATTTATACTAATCGGCAAACTTCTTGAGCAAATGACCTTGACTGCGCAGAACCGAATTTTAGATCACTATGGTGGTGAGGGTGAGGCGCGACGGCAGGGGAAATCGTATCGAGCGCTTTATTGGTAGATCAGTCGAACCTTACGCCCCGCACCGCGCCCTCAATCCGCTTGCTCGCAAAAGTACGCTTGCGTACAGTGGAAAGTCTATCGTTATTAATCGTTATGTTATTTGTTATAATTACTTGTGGACTTTGTTGCCATTGCTATTTGTTGAGTGTTTGTTGATTTTTTATAAAACATACACTATGCCGCGACAAACTGGTGTAATATTCAAAAGAAAGGGTAGAAAATTTGTGTACGACGTATATTGCTTCATTATAAAACAGGGGAAGAATGATATGGAAAAATTAAAACAGACTTCGGAAGTAACAAAACCATCAGTGAGTACTGTTAGGTGCATTATTATTAAGGAAGCTAAAGGCTCTGGCTTGCTCGCCGTGTTTCGGACTCCGGGTAAGAAAAGATCAGGAAAGAAGAAAGTTACCGGAATGGATAGTTTCGTTCAATCTATAATAAAAAGATGTAATCATAATAACTACATAACAAGCAGCGAAACTCCGTACCGTAGAAAGGTTTCGAAAAATATAAAGAAGATATAAATTTTAATGGCTCGGAATGAAGCTTACGACGTATTATGAAAGAGCTAGGCTTCAGATGGAAAAAAAGAACAGAAAATAATCGGAATCTGGTAATTGAAAAAAGTAACATTCGATTACTACGAATCGAATATCTTTAAAAAATAATTAATTATACACAAAAAAGAAGACGAATCGACCGAGTTGTAAACTACACCGATGAGCCCTATGTCGACTAATCACGATGATAGCGACTCGGGTGATGAAAACAGTGATGATGATGATGGTCAAGATTATGATAACGAAAAAAAATTACAAATACCAGCTTCGCTTCAACTGAACCAAGACCTGGCAACAGCTCTAATTTTGACTTAAGGAATATCTATTTTACCCCAAGATTAAATTATTACAATTATTAACCTATATGTTTTGTTGATGTTCTAATAAATAAATAAATAAATACATATGTTGATTTTAATAATTTAATAGCATTATGACGCAGAGTAAGTAATGTTTTTGCACGTGAGTGTACCATGCGCGAACTTACCCCCACTACGTCAACAAATGCTCAAGAAGTTTGCCGGCTATTGTACATTACGAAATTAGTGTCATGCATGTTGAACTCAGTTTCACGAAAGTAGTTTCGATATATGCGAAAGTAATTTCGTCAAAAAATTAGTGTCGTGAAATCCACAGTATCGCAGTAACCATGGCGCCATCACCATCAAAGCTAAATTCTGTGCTATATGCTATATTCAATGTAGCTAAAGAAATGCTTATATACCTATAAACTTTAAAAAAAGACTATCAAGAAAAAAAGGTTGGTAGATTCGAGGATGGTCAACAAGAAGGCATTTAGGTGCAATGAAGTTAGTCTCTGAATTAGCAGATGAAGATCCTGAGAGTTATAAAAACTATTATCGAATGAGTGAATATAATTTTGCTTTTTTACTGTAGGTGTTTCGGGTCCCAGAGACACCGTTGTCGCTGATATTCATTATTAAGATCTATATTTTTATCTGTACTCCATCGTTGGTTTGCCATTTTCAACGTTTGAAGCGCGTCCGAACTAACAATACATACGTCCGCACAGCGCAGGCCCTTTCGCGACAATAGTTTCACGTCGCGTTTACACTATGAAATTAGTTGCATGACATTAATTTCACCAAAAAATCGCGTAGGGCACGAAACTAATTTCCATGCATGAAATTAATACATGCATTACGAAAGTATTAAATTACACGTGAAACTGTTGGTAAAACTAATGTCACGAAATTAATTTCACGACACTAATTTCGTAATGTAAATTCGCCTTTAGGATAGGGTGTTTCATAGTCAAATCAGTCAGAAACGACGTAAACTATACGCCCTTAACGGGAATAGGTCGACTTAACCTTAACTGTAACCTTGTATTAATAGAAAAGACGAAATAGTTCAGTACCCTCTTGTTTGTCAACCCATTGCAACTAACATGTAATGCGAACTTGTGGCTTTAACAGCTTACGGCTTACTTACTCATATTATTATGTAACATAAGACTGCAAAAAACAATTATCGAGGGTTGTAAGGCTGTATAGGTATAGGTATTATTATTTATTTATTTCTATTATTTCTGGAGAATGGTGAAACATCATCCAGAGAATGATAATGGGATGCGACTCGGGGAGGAAGGCTATTTAGTTTAAGCGACATTTTTGTAACTATACAGGAGAGCTATTTAAATAAAAAATTTGGAAAAAATATCCTAACAAAAAACTTCTTCAGCTATTTGAATGCAGTAAACTCAATTGAAGTTCAATTAAAAACATCGAACCGTTGATGCTAATATCAGATAAAACGCGCCTTTAATTACAAAGATACATATTGCGTATTAAGCGAATGTCGCTTTCTTTTATTTTTTTATTGCTTAGATGAGTGGACGAGCTTACAGCCCACCTGGTGTTAAACGATTACTGGAGCCCATAGACATCTACAACGTTAATGCGCCACCCACCTTGAGATATAAGTTCTAAGGTCTCAAGTATAGTTACAACGGCTGCCCCAACCTTCAAACCGAAACGCATTACTGCTTCACGGCAGAAATAGGCGGGGTGGTGGTACCTACCCCCGCGGACTCTTAAGAGTTCCTACCACCAGTAAGTTAAAGTCGTTAAACCAAATAGCCTTTCACCCCTCGTTAAACAGTTCTTGTGCAGTCTTCAAACCTACTACCGTCTACTTCATATGCGCGCTCAACACGGGCATGCTTAGTTTTTATTCATACAAATTTATTAATATGTAAGTCATATTGATGTTAAAAAACACATTATAACATGAACATTTGGTGTACACATGTTAGTTTTGTTTTTTGTTTTGTTAAACTGTGTGAATTCTTTTCTGTTAGCGTCTCTAGAAATAATTACTGGAGCTGAAAAATATCGTGTTTTTAATTAATGCCTTTAATAGTAGCTTGACTTGTATCATTCAAATTATTTGCACACGTGTTAATCGATCAGTCTGAATTCATTCATTTTATTACCTGGAAAAAATGTTAAATTAGTTATCTGCTCAAGACCGATATAAATGGAAAAATTTGATTCGAGCCCTAGTCGCCCAAAACACGTCATCTCGGATCCTCCCGATCCACTAACGGTGCTTTTAGGTACTTCAAGCACCGGTCACCGTTCTCGTCGAACCCGTCGCTTGCGACGAAGGGCTCGACGAGTAAATTAACTCTCAGACACAGCCCACTGAGTTTCTCGCCGGATCTTCTCAGTGGGTCGCGTTTCCGATCCGGTGTAGATTCTGCGAAGCACGGCTCTTGCTAGGGTTCGTGTTAGCATCGTAGTCAGGTTTGAGCCCCGTGAGCTCACCTACAAACGTTAGGGCGAAGCTGAAATAGCCTCTCAAGGCTATCAGCATAGGTAGGAATAAAAAAATCGAGCCCTACACCCCAGCAGAGGGTAATAGGAAAGAATGATGATGATGAATTAATCTTTGACTGGCTTTAATGGCTTTAATAAAGCGCATTTTTGGTTATAAATTTAAATTTATTATTGTTGGTGTTGGTTTACCGCAGCCCAAAACTATGGTTTAAAATTTTTAAATGATTTGAGACCATGACAATAAGACTAAAATTAAATTAAATTTAAAGACTATTTTCATTGTACATTAAATATGAACCGAATCGTCGTCTAACAATTAATTTACATTAGAAGATATTTATTAATAGTCGAACGCGGAAATACTTTTCTGACGCAAAATTTTACTTTTGGGAAACATTGTCTAATTAAAAATACTAGCAGTCGAAATTCGACTATAATGAATTGAAATTATAAGTTTGAACATTATTAAGGTTCTATTGTCAAAGATTTATTATACTTCTATAATCACAGATTTCGACTCCGCTATAGACAAATAAATATAAAGATAAACAATACCTATTAACCTATTCTCAATTTGACCACAGACTTTAAGCAATAACAATAGTTTGACAATAAACAAAGGGTATATATGTGTGTGTGTATGTCAAATACATGGTAGTGTGTGTAATGTTTTTTTTATTAATTTAATGTATTATTAACGCATAATTTAAAAAAAATATTAGCTTTCTGCACTCCTTCTCTATATTCTTTATAAGTGTGAGAAATTTCATACTTCTCCGTCTGCGCAATTTCCGTAAAAAGAGGTACAAAGTTTTTGCTTCACGTATTAAAAATATGACTGTCGTTTTGTTAACGATTGAAAATCGATCCTCTCCTTCTTTCCAAATTGACAAAAGATAAAAAAAACAGTTTAAAACACTTCAAGTGATATCTTAATTGTAGGGAGTTTGAAGTACCTTCCCGTCACTTTCCTGGTCAAACGCACGTGTGGCGAGTGGCGGGCTGGTTGCAGCGCGGTAAGGTCCGAGCCCAAGAGGAACTCTACCGACACGTGGCGAGGGCGTTAGCGCTGATCGTGGTAGTCGCCAGGGACCGACTTGTCAAAGATGAACCGCTTTCTGTACGAGCGGGGATCAAATCGCTTCTGGCCGGCTTGCACAGGTCAGTAAAGCTGGGTTTCCATCAAAGATATGCGAGGATGGGTAGCTAGGGATGTGTTTGTTAAGAACCAATAGAATCGCTTCGTTTACTAGACTTAGATAGGTTTTAGTCTGATGGATAATAAATTTTGAATATTTGTCTTGAGTTCTGAGCAAATTACAACCATCATGCCTACCTCTGTTACTGGCCAATATCATCTTTAAAGTTTTATAAATAAGAGCGGATCGCTTGGAACCTATGGATCTACGGAGGGATTTCGGTTTTCTCTGTGTTTTGTAGCGTATGTTCCATGGGGAATGCTCTGAGAAATTATTCGAGATGATCGCTTCATCTTCTTTTTGTCATCACACCTCCTGGCACCGGAGCAGAGCGCATCCATATTATGTGGAACCGCTGCGTTCATCGATAGTGCGTTTCCAAAGATCTTTTCTGTCACGTACCATCCGGCTTTGGAATGAACTCCCATCAACGGTGTTTCCCGAGCGCTGTGACATGTCCTTCTTCAAACGAGGCTTGTGGAGAGTACTTAATGGTGGGCAGCGCCTTGGCTCTGCCCCTGGCATTACTGACGTCCATGGGCGATGGTAACCAATTACCATCAGGTGGGCAATAAATAAGAGTTTATTGTTTTGATTCGGAAAGGAATAAAGAATCTTAAAATAAAATTGATTTTATCGCTCCTTCGTATCCTCGGTGTGGCTGATACCATTCGGTACTGCTTACGATGTCGACCGTAAAGTCGTGTAGCCATTGTGGCTATAAAAATGAATATTCCATTTGCAGGTTATTGGATCTGGCCATTGGGATGCCATCAATGGAGGCCCGGGATCTCGATAAGAAGATACGCGAGGAAAGATCACGATATCTGGTGGCAGAGTTGATATGCAAGGTACAGTTATAATTACCCTGAATTATTTAACATAAAAATATCAAACGGATGGATCCTCCGTTGGACTACAGAGATTACTATTATCTTATTCCAAAAATACAGATCGACGTAAAGTAATAAAATATAATAAGAAAGTCGACAATTAACATGGGTGCTTTAAATTATTTTACTTTGACTTTTTATTTATTGCTCTTGTACCAATTTTTTCCATGAAATACGTACTTAACAATGTTCACGATTGATTTCCACGGTGAAGGAATAACATCCTGCTATAAAAATCAAACCCGCAAAATTATAATTTGCGTAATTACTGGTGGTAGGACGTCATGTGAGTCCCCACGGGTTGATACCACCACCTCTTTCTGCCCTGAAGCAGTAATGCGTTTCGGTTTGAAGGGCGGGGCAACAGTTGCACTGTTAAAAGCGAGACCTTAGAACTCATGTCTCAAGATGGCGGCATTTGCGTTATAGATGTCTATGGGTCCCGGAAACCACTTAACACCAGGTGGGCCTAGAGCTCGTCCACCTAATTAAGCAATAAAAAAATAAAAAAGGAGTTTACGAACGAATTTCTCGGTCAATGGTATTGTGTAATAATATCGAAATTCGGATTTATTTGCGTACTGCTCGCTTATATACCATGCCGTGAACCCGCTTGAGGGTGGCCGTTTCATCTAATCCTACCGCTGTGCTGGATAACGTATAGACTAAGGGGATAATTTGGGGACACCATCGGTACTATGGTGTAACTATACTGAGACCTTAGAACTTATATCTCAAGGTGGGTGGCACTTTTACGTTGTAGATGTCTATGGGCTCCAGTAACCACTTAACACCAGGTGGGCTGTGAGCTCGTCCACCCATTTAAGCAATAAAAAAAAGTGACTTCTGCTTCGTGATGGTGTTAACATGTGGTACGTGTGTTCGGTCAGCCGGAGCAACAGGAGGACGTGACGGCGTTGGCGGGCTGGGTGTGGCGAGCCTTACGCCGCGCCGCCGCAGAGAAGTGCGCCCCCCGCTGCCCCCCGCCCGTCCCCACGCTCTACACCACGCCCCAACACACGCAGGTACCGTCCCCCCCACGCACCACCCCCGGAGTCCCCCACAATATACATATAATTTATATGCAGTATTTGAGAATGAATAAACAATAAAAGACTTAATTGTGTTTTCTGGGATATAATAAAAAAACAACATTTAAAGTCCATAATCTCTTTTAAAATTAATATTAAAAATTAAACAGTATTAATAAATTATTATTAGTAATAATAACAAAACTACTATTTTTACTCAATGGCAGACATCACTCATTGACCCTGAATGACACTGAATTATTTTTAAATTCCAAAAAAGTTTTAAATAATGAAGATGTTCGCGCGACAGCGCGACGTTCGTAAATGTTCGACTCAACTCGGGTGCCGTCGCCCGTACGCACCCCGCACCTCTCATAACAGTGCGGTACATGACGGCACGCGGAGATACGCTCGTTCGATATTGAGTAAATTGTGCGCGCCCGCCCTTCGTTATATACTAAGTAAAAGGTTGAGTGTGAACCGGTGAAAAGGTGTATGTGCCACCCATCGCAGAGAAACACCACTACGACCGTGATAGTGCCAGCATCAGCCTCCAAGTAAGTCCCGTTTTCCTACCTACCCTTTCGTGTACGCTCATTCTCCGCAGAGTTCATTTGCTCCCTTTCAGCTCATCAGCTCACGTTTAAGGTGACGCTCACCTGCGTCACCATTTTCTGGTCCTTCGAGCTTTGAACCCTAAATCCTTTGGATACAATCCATTGCCCTCCATAGACCCACCCAAATTTCGATATACAAACGGCTCAAAAAAAGAAATTGGCCCTTTTGTAGGTTTCAATCGGTTATAATCAGCCCATTATTTAACTCTAAAACTTATTTACTATAATAATATCTTCATTTCGTTGTTTATAATAATTACTAACACGGCAAAAGTATATAAATTGTCTGCCCATTATACAATCACTTCATTCCATTTTACCCACAACAATAAAAAGTTATTAAAAGTTAAAACGAAGAACGTAAACAAGTAGGGACTTATCGTCTCGGCTCATCGAATGAATATTATATATACCTATCTAAATATATTTCTAATCATATAGACCTCATTAGTACATTAGTTTGATTTTTAAAAGTGTGGAACATTGATGATTTTTTTCATTAAATTTGTTGTCAAAGCGTATCGTGATTTGTGTCATTTCATTATACTTTAACTTTTATTGTAATTACATACTTGTAGGTACTTACAATTCCTACGATATTTAGGTGCTTGCGCGCCACAGTACAGTTCACAACAGTAAATCAACTGTAACTTTGATTTTTGCCATAGTTCGGTGTAGAACAGTAGGTCAAA